CCTTTTTTAGAGATCTGCATTGTAACAAAATTAAAAGTTCTTCCCCTACTTAGAAGGAAAAGAAAGTGAGCAAACTGCTAGTATCTGAAAGTCCATTGAAAGAGGAAAAAGAAAGCACATCTGTTCTCTATTCTCCTTTCTTGCAACGTCTGGAAACACACAGATCTAATTTCTCATTGCAGCTGGCCACAGGGAGGTCAATTTGAGTGTATTCATTCTCTGAAGATTCACTCTAGAATGTTTTGATTTCGGTCCCAGCCTCTAGCTGTCTTTTGCTTTCAGGCTGGTTTACAGAGTGCATTTTATTCAAATACCTTTTGGGTATTCGAGGGCGATTCTTGAATCCACTATAAAGCTGACTTCTGAGTTCCGCAGAAAGAAATTTCATTCTCTCTGTTGGTTCACATGTGGTCTTTGCTTTCTGGAAGGATTGCCTTTAAGTTCTGTCCCATGTGGCCCTTCATGAATCATTGCCCACTTGATCTTGACTTCCTCGGCTTAACATTTAAATTTTCAAAATTTTCCATGGAATGTTATGAAAGCTCATCTGTACTCCTGGAAAGGAAATCTCCAAGGCTATTGACAGGATGTTTTGGAAGATGCTGACTGGTCAATAGGTTGCATTCTTATTGCTCCACTTGTTCGGGGGAGGTTGGGCAGAAAGCCAAATAACTTCATGGTGCATATGTAAGCTCAGATTACATTGGTCCTTTGGGTTCAGTTACAGCTAGCCTTTCGGACTCAAATTATTCATAGTAGATTGCGATTAATGAAGCTCTGAAAGTAGAATGACATATAGATAATTATGAGAATCATAATCTTTCTTCCTGGAGCATAATCAGCTAATTCCACTGCTTATATTCCCAAAATAGCAAAACATGAAAAAATTTGAAAAAGTTACAAAGAACATTTATAGAAACTGCAATTTAAAAAGAGTGTATATAAAGAAAAGGAATGTTTAATGGGAGAGACTTTATAAAGAACAAAATACAGTGAATTCACTGGTACCTAAATGTGATAGAGACATGGATGGTTTGCAAGAATGGCAGTAATAATCATAGTAAACTATCTACAGTAAAACATACTGTAAACAACATAGCAATCAACTTATAACAACTATAGATGGCATCAAGCTATACAATTTTCCAATATTTCACAACAAAAATTCACTTTTAATCAATTTCTGGCAAGCTATCAGTATAAGTACGTACCTAGTTTTTAGCATAGCTATTATTTCACAAGATAGAGATCGTTACCAAAAATCACTGTTCCTGAGACCAAACCATTTTATCTTCCCAGAATAGAAGGTTACCTGCTTATTTTGTTTCAGGAAGAACATACTGCTTGGAGAGACACTCCTGGAAATACCTAGAAGCCGAGCTTATAGCTCAGAGCTTTATAGGTGAACACCAGAATTTTGAATTGCATCTACAAATCTATTGGGAGTCAATGTAGGATCTATTGCATAACTGTTAATATGACTACAACTGTCACCCATCAATAAATGAGCTGCTGACATTTGGATTAATGTACAGTATAGCATGATGCAGTAATCTAGTTCTATAGTGCTGATGAAAAACTACAGCTGTTGAGGTTCTGGAACAAAGGAGTAACATGATAGCATTACAGGTAGTTCTTACTTAACTATCAGTTGCTTAGTGACTGTTTGAAGTTACCACCGAACCCTCCAAAGGTACTTAGGACTTGGATTTGAAGTTGTGATGGCCGACCCTTCCCTGCAGTCACATAATTTCATTTTAAATGCTCAGCAACTGGTTTGCATTTACAGTTATTTGTAATCTTTCATGGTCATGTGATTGTGTACTGTCAAAAACCAGCATTTACTTTGAGTTTTTGGCAAAAAGTGCCAGAACAGTAGGTTTGCTTAACAATCACAAGCATTTGATTAATGACTGCAATGTTTCCTTAACAACTGTGGTATTTATAACTGCTGGGAAAAAAATGTTGTAAAATCGGGTCAGTCATATAAATGGCCTGTTTAACAACTGGCACAATTTATGACCATAATTCCAGGCTGAATTAATGTCATAAATAGAGGACTACTTGTATATAAAATCATGCATAGAATTATAGAGAGTTTTGCATAGAACAAACAAATCATAGAATGATTACTATAAATCACCAAGAGTTTTGTAGCTGCAAGTACAATAAATCAATCAATTAGATAGAAAATAATTTCTGTCTTTCTTGCAATAAAAGAACCTCAGATACTCTATTGAAATTAATGCAGGATATTTAGGATTTAGAGAATGACGTATAGGCTTTATACAGAGAAAATTATAGAACTGAAAGCCAGCAATTTGGCTCATGGCAGACAACTTCAATGGTTTTAAAAAGGGACAAGTGAGATTCATGGAGAATCAAATTATGAATGGGACATAGAATTTTGGACAAGATGAGATTCCAAAATTCCCATCCATGATTTCAGATACTATATTGTCTATTCCTGATTTATTATTTAGGATGTTGTGTGAACCCAACTATTATAACTTTTTCATGGGGTAGGGACATGTGAGAAGTCAGTCGATTTATACAGTATTGACTAAGACAAATGATTTTTGAATTCCACTAATAATATGCCATAAAATGTCTGCTGAAGGATAATTATGTTTCTTTGAAGTTACATTCTGAAATAGATTTTACCATGAAAAATAGCAAAATAGATTAGGATCCCAAATGCAAGTCATTTTGGAGATTTCTGTTAAACTGTGATGCTCTTGGTTCTATAATAACAATAACCAATCAAATTGTTGTCATGAATTATAAAAATGTAGGAAAAAAATATAATGAACAAAACCACCTAATCTAAGCAATATTTTCTAAATGCTTACTATTAAGATAAAGAAATAAGAGTAAGCTATCATTGTCCAGACCCTCTCTTTGAAGGAGAGGGGCGGTTTAGAAATATAAAATATAAATAAATTTATACTGGCAAAACAGATTTAAATTCTTGCTTGATACCAATTTATTATATTTCCTTCTAGTACATTTTGCTCTGGTGAGGAAATATGCTTTAGTCTAACCCAGTTTTCTCAGCAACTTTAAGATGTGTGGACTTCAACTGCCAGAAATCCCTGATAGAATGGGAGTTAAAGTCTACACATCTTAAAATTGGGAGGCTGAGACATCTAAATTTAAGATTTAAAATTTAGAAGTCAGGAAGTTCTTAATATTTATTGTTAGAAAACTTCTTTTGGGACTTATATTAATTTGTCAAATTAATATAATTTTTCTCTATTCATTAGAAATGCCTTTAGAAAGTGTTTTGTTTTTTGCAACAAGATTTTTTAGACCCTGGCTGTTTGCATTTGACATATTTACAAGGTCATAGAAAACCACCTTTTATACAACATTGCAGTATGAAATGGTAAGATAAAAGTAGCATTTTAACAAATATTTAGGCTGCATTCATACAATATCAAGCCAAACCATGACTTGGTTTGTATAATATGGTATGCTAAAACCAAAGATACTACATTTTGGTTTACCATGTTATATGAACCAATCCTTACATTTGAGATTATGGTATTTTCACCGCCCCCATTCCTCCCCCATTACCGATGTCCATTCAATTGTGGCTGTGCTCACAGGAAACCACGATGCAAAAATAACATCCTTTCAGAGGTGTCATACTGCCAAATGCATTCTTGCATCCCAATGTCTGATACAAGTAAGTGTGTTGCAAGATTTTCATCATGGCACACATTTCATTATATGCTTTATTTCCCTCCTTATTTTCAAGTCAGCCTTCCTTGCCTTCATTTTTTGTAAAACTGGACAAAGTGGCAACAACAATAGTCACTGGGGTTTGACATAGACTAAAGGTGTAATGGCAAAACTTGATGAAATGGCAGGACCTGCCACCTCCTGCTTCTCTCAAAGAAAACTGAGGAATCTTGAAAGCAGGATCTGTTGCAAGTACAAGAATGGGAAAAATTCTAAATAAGTGTTTTTTAAAACTAGGCAACTTTAAGATATGTGCACTTCAACTTCCAGAATTCCCCGGCCAGCATAGATTGCCAACTTTGTCCAGTTTCTAAATGGACAATTCTAAATAAAAGTAGTGCTTGTGACTCACTTCCCTTCGCGACTTTGGTTCTTTTAAACTTTATTTGACTTTAGATTACAACAGGATGGAGGCTAGAGTTGACAAGGGAATCCTGCAATCAGACCTAGCCGGTTCCTTCTGCAGGATGCGACTGGGGACTGTTTCTCTATGCTAAGTGTGCTGAAGAGGGATGATCAGCCTGGTGGAATTAACCAACTATACTGGCTGCCCTACAGAATCAGGACAGCACCCTTCAGCAAGGAGTCCAAGCAAAAGCAAGCTAAATTGTCCACGTAGCTATTGTATTTCACGCCAATTGAAGGAGAGGTGAAGACAGTAGCAGTTCAGCAGCAGAGAAATCCTAGTCTTCTTCTTCCATCTCTCCACGGCAAACATGAAAGTGAAGCTGTGGTTGGGTCAATGCTCCCGAGACCAGCATCCACGTCGTCACTGACCCCCATCCTCTGGGTCCTCACAACACGTGGGACACACATTCAGTAGCCGGCGGTTCTTTAAAATGCAGGTCATCAGAAGAGGCAGAGGAGTCAGAGCGGCTCAATCTTCCCTTTCCATGGATCCCGGTCCAAACCTCTCCCTCCCTCCCGCCTGGACTTGGACTCTCCTGCTCCGCTGCAACCTTCGTGAAGAATGCCGTGATCAGTAGCACCACTACGGAAGAAAAACTTGGCCAGTTACAGGGAAACTCTGCTCCAAAAATGACGGGATGCTCCGAAGTCCGTAGTACCGTCTGAATTTGCGGTACTCCGCTGCAAAAAATAGAAAGCGCGCGACTCCTCGAGCTACGAGCGCAAGGCGCCTCCCGCCCGCTTTCCCCTCTTTTCGACCTCCGGGGATGCCTTCCGCCGGATGGTGTCACCGCGAAACCTGTCCCCGAGATGGTGAGGGGCTGCTTTAAGGGGAACACCAGTTGTCGTGGAACCCGGAAGTGTCCCGGCGGGCGTGGAGAGCGCAGCCCCTTTGACCCTCGGCGGCCCCTTTCTGTTGGGCTGACCCTGAAAATGAGGGTCCCGACGGCGGGTGGCCCGGAGCTGCGCGGTTTGTGAGGCGCCTGGGAAGAGCGGCTTTTGACCGTGGAGGCTTGATGCGAAAACGGACTCGGCGGGCAGAAGAAGAGCCGGAGGCTGCTTGGGCAGAGACTTAACTCGGGAGACAGATGTGAAGACGCCAAGCAGGAACACGCATCTGGACGCGTGTCAGGCTCGAAGGCAGCGGAGTGGGGGGAGGTTCAGCGGGAAAGAAGTGGGGGGGTCTCACCCCCCGGAGGTACGAAGCTGCAGCCTCTTGGACCTTCTCCGGGGAGGGGGCGACGCCGAATTTCGGGGTCCGCGTGGAAAGCCCGTCCTTGAAAGGTACGTGGTGGTTTGCATGTTTTTCTTCCGTGCACTGGCAACTTCTGAGAATATATCGCCGCTTTAATGAGGAATGTGCTGTTATCGTGGACCGTAAAAATATAAATGATGGGTGAAGTGTGAGTAGGAGGTTTTGTTTCTTAACAAGCTGCGGTTGGTTAACTGAGTGGAAAGGTATGCTAAGTCATATTATGACATTGCGACAAGTGAAATAGACGATGCACATAGTCTGTTTCTTTTTTTGTTTGTTTTGAGAGACACAACTGGGGCAGTAGTGTGATTGATTGATTGGATTTATATGCCGCCCTTCTCCGGAGACTCAGGGCGGCTTACAATGCGTTAAGCAATAGCCTTCATACTTTTGTATATACCTGCTTAGTAGGGCTTTCGCTCCCCCCCCCCCCAGCAGTGTTCTATTTTATACAAAGTCAGCTTATTGTCCCCACAATCCAGATCCTTCCCTACCTGGGAAGGATGGAAGGCTGAGTCAACCTTGAGCCTGGTGAGATTTGAACTCGCAGTAATTGCAGGCAGTTATGTGGTAAAGTTAGATATTTTACAGTATTTAAAAAAAAATTTGCTTGCTTGCATTCAGACAAGAAGATCATGATCATTTATGGGCAGAATACACATTTATTCAAAGTACATCAATATTTTGCACTTTAAAGCCAACTTGTATTGTTGCCTAAGAGCAAACTGGTTACAGAAAGTACTAACATTTAATTTGCTGTATATTTCAGTCCAATGTAAGATTATAGAATTAAATCATTGAATGAGTTTAAAAAAAACATTAAACCCAAACACAGAAATTTAGTTTTGGCTTAGCATGATGTTTGGAAGAAGACATCATGCTGGTTGCAATCCTTTTAATTGAAGACTCATTTCATAAAAGTCATTGAGGGATATGATTGTGTATGTGTGGGTGTATGTATACACAAACACACACAGACATGCATGTAATGGAGTGGGGGTTCAAAGGGAAGGAGGTTTTGTTGTATTAAACAGAGTTGTAGTTTGCTGTATATATTCATATAATAGCAATATCTTTACTATCATTTAGCTGATAATAAAAGCCACAGACTCCACTGGATTTACTTCTACTTTTTAATACCTACTTATATATTGCATTAAATTTTCAAGTAAATATACATTGATCCAAAGTGTTAGAATACAGTATAGCATTCTAAATCCATGAGCTTTTGTTTAATACTTGTGAACCACAGCTAATCCTAAATTGTTATGTATGCTACAGTTACAATATGTTTTCTTAAAAGGGTCTTGTGAATAAAGGCACAATGCTGGAATCCTATGTAACTCCTATTCTAATGAGTTATGTGAATCGTTACATCAAGAATTTGAAGCCCTCTGATTTACAGTTGTCACTCTGGGGAGGAGATGTAGTTCTCAGCAAACTTGAGCTAAAACTTGATGTTCTTGAACAGGTATGTTATTGTAATTATTTTGATTAAATCTTAAATAAAACTTTATCCTAAAATAAGTTATTCTTAATGATAACTGTCTGAGAATATTATATTACAATATATATTATATATTATAACTATATGATATAATTTATTAATATGTTATGTGTCCTTGTTATGTTGATAAATACTGTATGTGTCTAAACACTTCTATATAATAGTTGTGATAATTTTGGAAGGATTTCAATTAAATTAAGCAATTATCAAAATATTGAAATAGGCCTATGATTTCTATTACCATATTTTTCGGTGTATAAGATGCACCGGAGTATAAGACGCACCTTAATTTTGGGGGAGGAAAACAAGGAAAAAAGTATTTTACCTCTGCCTACCAGCATTTAAGGTGGTGCCGCCCTCCTCTTCCTCCTGCAAGCGAGCGGTGCAGGGACTACTCGCTTTCCCCCAAAGAGACCCCTAGCATGCTCTTGGGGGGAGAGACAGAGCACAGCCTGAGGAACAAAACTCCCTCTTCGGAACAGTGTGGGGGGGGAATCTGTCCAGCTTTGGGGAACAAGGCGGGTGCCACAATTTGCGGCTGATCACCCCTCTGGCTGCGCTGACTTCACTACCCAGCAATGTGAGGAGCCGCCGCCGCCGCTGCCTAACCCTCTCTGCGCCCAGGAGCCAAGCCGAGCTGAATGGGAGCCCCTAAAGGGAAACGTTCCTCCTTTCCAGCCATCTCTGCCCGGATTCCAAAATGCAAACCTCAAGAGTCGCGCTTCAAGTGGCGGCCAGTTCCCCTGCAATGTGCAGTGGGGAACTGGGAAGTGCTTTGGATTTGGGGAGGAGATTGTAGTGCTGACGCCTAAAAGTGTTTTTCTGCACATTGCAGAGCCGCGCGCCCCCATCCTCCTTCTCAGCAGACTCTTCTCTTTCCTCCTGGCCAGATCCGCCACCTGAAACACGGTATACTTTTTTTTGTCTCTGCACACACCCCATGTTTGGAATCGGGAAGGGGATCGCGGGTTCGGCCGGCAGACCCGCGATCCCCTTTCCGATTCCAAACATGGGGTGTGTGCAGAGACAAAAAAAAGTGTACCGTGTTTCAGGCGGCGGATCTGGCCAGGAGGAAAGAGAAGAGTTTGCTGAGAAGGAGGACGGAGGCGCGCGGCTCTGCAATGTGCAGAAAAACACTTTTAGGCGTCAGCGCTACAATCTCCTCCCCGAATCCAAAGCACTTCCCAGTTCCCTGCTGCACATTGCAGGGGAACTGGCCACCACCTGAAGCGTGACTCTTGAGGTTTGCATTTTGGAATCCGGGCAGAGATGGCTGGAAAGGAGGAACGTTTCCCTTTAGGGGCTCCCATTCAGCTCGGCTTGGCTCCTGGGCGCAGAGTGGGTTAGGCAGCGGCGGCGGCGGCTCCTCACATTGCTGGGTAGTGAAGTCAGCGCAGCCAGAGGGGTGATCAGCCGTAAATCGTGGCACCCGCCTTGTTCCCCAAAGCTGGACAGATCCCCCCCCACACTGTCCCGAAGAGGGAGGGTTGTTCCTCAGGCTGTGTCCCTACCCAGATCCCTGCTGCCTGGAACTGGCCGAAAATGGCCAAAGAGTGGGGGCCGGTGGGTGGGCGGGGCTACATTCGGCGTATAAGACGCACCCAGATTTTCACCCCCTTGTTCGGGGTAAAAAGGTGCGTCTTATACACCGAAAAATATGGTATATGAATAAATAAGTTTTCTTTGATACTTAATGACAAATACTATGTAGCAAGAAGACTTTTAAAAATCTAATTCTGTTAAAATGTTCTAAATTAACATTTTGTACATTGAAGTCTTAAAGCTATACTGTAAAGTACTAATAGCTATCAATATTTATTTTTCATTCATTGTTGATATGTGAACTGGTTATTGTTAAAACCTTTATTTGAATCAATCAATCAAGGTTGTTGAGAGTGTGGTCGCGCAACAGTTTCCACAATTCCTGGAGGAAACATCCTATCTAGATCCGTTCCAGTCGGGTTTCAGGTCTGGGTACAGCACGGAAACGGCATTGGTCGCGTTGGCGGATGATCTCTGGAGGGCTCGGGACAGGGGTTATTCCTCTGTTCTGGTCCTATTAGATCTCTCAGCGGCTTTTGATACCATCGACCATGGTATCATGCTGCACCGGCTGGAAGAGTTGGGGGTGGGAGGCACCGTGTTGCGGTGGTTCTCCTCCTTTCTCTCCGACCGGTCACAGTTTGTGTTGGCAGGGGGGCAGAGGTCGACCTCGAGGCCTCTCATTTGTGGAGTGCCGCAGGGATCGGTCCTCTCGCCCCTTCTGTTCAACATTTATGTGAACCCGCTGGGCGAGATCATCCGTGGCTTTGGGGTGAGATACCACCAGTACGCTGATGACACCCAGCTGTACATTTCCACCCCAGGCCACCCCAACGATGCCCTTGAAGTGATGTCCCAGTGCCTGGAGGCTGTGCGGATCTGGATGGGGAGGAACAGGCTCAGGCTCAACCCTTCCAAGACTGAGTGGCTGTGGCTCCCGGCATCCCGATATAGTCAGTTGACTCCATCACTGACTATTGGGGGCGAGTCTTTGGCCCCCACTGAAAGGGCTCGCAATCTGGGAGTCCTCCTGGATAGGCAGCTGTCTTTGGAGGAACATCTGACGGCTGTTACCAGGGGGACCTTTTATCAGGTTCGCCTGATTCGCCAGTTGCGGCCCTTTCTTGATCGGGATTCTTTGTGCACAGTCACTCACGCCCTCGTCACCTCTCGCCTTGACTACTGCAACGCTCTCTACATGGGGCTCCCCTTGAAGAGCACCCGGAGGCTCCAGCTGGTCCAGAATGCAGCAGCGCGGGTAGTGATGGGAGCAACATGGCGCTCCCATGTAACACTGCTCCTGCGCGAGCTGCACTGGCTCCCGGTGGTCTTCCGGGTGCGCTTCAAGGTGTTGGTTATCACCTTTAAAGCGCTCCATGGCATAGGGCCTAGCTATCTCCGAGACCGCCTGCTGCTACCGACGACCTCCCATCGACCCGTGCGCTCCCACAGAGAGGGCCTCCTCAGGGTGCCATCAGCCAAACAATGTAGGCTGGTGGCCCCCAGGGGGAGGGCCTTCTCTGTGGGGGCTCCCACCCTCTGGAATCAGTTGCCCCCGGAGATAAGAAGAATCCAGGACCTCAATGCCTTCCGTCGTTCCCTGAAAACCCATCTTTTTCAACAAGCCGGGTTGGCCTAAGAAGAAATTTTTAAAATTTTAAAATTTTTAAATTCTTTTAATTAGTCTGTGATTCTTAACTTTCGGGCCAAAATTTATATATATTTTTAAATGTTTTAATATTTGTATCCTATGTTTTTTATCTTGGCTGTACACCGCCCTGAGTCCTCAGGGAGAAGGGCGGTATATAAATTGGAAATTAAATTAAATTAAATTAAATTAAATGGTGATTATCAAGCAATTGATATTAATAAGTTCTCATAAGTCAGCAAAAAGAGCATTTAAACATCTCATAATTGTAGATTAAAATTGCAATTACAAATATAACTGTTATTGTCTGGGTTGTCAGCTTTAAGTGCTGCATTATAGTTACTATTTCATGTTTAATTATTATTAATACTGAGAGATGGTAGTTCTTTCTTCAGTTATTTTAGTAACTGTATTTTCTTCTTTGACATACACATACACTCGCCACTTTGCTTTATCAGTGTATTTTATACTTCTAAAAATTTAGCTCTCATGTAGAAATCTCATTTCTCATAGGGGCAATATCAATAAGACAGAAATAGTGCTTTCCTATGTCTTGTTTATTTAGTCTCTGAATCCAGCAAAGCATGCAGATCCATAGATATATGATTCATGCGAATTTCTGCTTTAGAGCAAATTTCATATATTGAGACATAAATTGTGATTTGTAATCTCTTGTGCCTTCGTAGAAGGTCTAACTTATATAACTCTAAAATTCTTGAAAGGTTACATTAAATGGGATTGTTTTCTGAAAGATGCTGTAAGCAGTATTTTAGTAACCATTCATTGGCAGAAATCATCGTAGTTATACATGGCTAATATATTTCATATTTTGTAAGCTATGCATTTTTACTGTTGAATCTTCAAGTGTCAATTATAAAATCCAAACAATCCGTGGAATTGTGAATTCTCTGAAATCCAGTTATTTTGAATGTGAAAACATTGCAGCAAATTATTTGATGTGTGTGAATATTGTTAGCTATTAAAAAAAGAAATAAGCTGAAGTAAGTTTTAATAATTGTAAGTAGTGTTGAAGCAACCCATTTCATTTAAATTAGGTTTTAATAGCTAATTCGGTCATCTCATGTTCTTTATTTTTAAGGAGCTGAAATTGCCATTTACCTTTTTAAGTGGACACATTCACGAATTGCGTATTCATGTACCATGGACAAAACTTGGTTCAGAACCAGTCGTGATTACGATCAATACAATGGAATGCATCTTGAAGTTAAAGGATGGACTCCAGGTAATAACTGGCAACCCTAAATGAAATAAGACCGTGTGAACTGAGTCAGATGACATCTTAACATTGTTAGTTGTTATTAAAAGTATTTTGTGTTAATAATCTTACGTGTAGAATTTTGGAAAACACTTTATAATTTTTGTGAAATTATGATTGAAAGTTCAGGGAAATTATGTTTTCCCTCAAAACAGTTGGTACCGCTTTTTTGCTGAACTGGCAATAGGTTTGGGACTGAGAATGTCATGACCAGTCGAATTCCTTCAGGTTTTTTTTTTTTTAACCAGCTAGTACTCTGGATCTCTTTATTTGTTAGGAAAAGTTACAGAAGTAGCATCTTGACTTAATATTGTTTGTTCCTTCTGTACCATTGCTTGAATTCCATGTAAATCTTCTCGACTTGGAATTTATCTTTATAATCTAGTAACTGGATATTCTGATTTAATGTTGAACAAACTCAGTGGTTGGGAAGCATGTGAAACTTGAGTTGTCAAAGTTTTCTTGGCAAACACCACAATTGGAAATGTCACAAGCAGAGATTTAAGGATTCAAATGTTGATAAATTTATTGCAAAACTGTATTCATTATGAAAGAATTTCAGCAATTGCTATATGTCAGATTAAGCTTTATTTAAAGTGAAATCGAGTTTCAAATTCCTATACCATTTTTTTCTGCTTTTGTGGTGCAATCTGTTTTAATTTGCTTTCTTTTGGTGGGAGGGATAGTTTCTGCATGTCCTTTATTTATTATTTTATATCCTGCTTTTATTATTTTTATAAACAACTCAACACAACAACAACCCTGTGAGTCGAGTTGCGCTGAGAGAGAGTGAGTGCCCCGGAGTCTCCCAGCCGTCTTTTGTGTTTAAGGTTTATAATGGACTAATCTGGATTTAAGTTGCTTGCTTTTGACATTGTAAGAATTTGTCTTCACACCTATGAAATAATGGAATTGTGCAGTTATGAATTATTTCCAGTAGTAAATGTAGATGATTCTTCTAGATTTATCATATTAAGGGGTAAATATATATATTACATGTATTTGAAATTTATTAATGCATATACCTAATTTACTGGAATTAGGAACCAGATTCTAAAAAAAGGGAAGCCACTATTTACTCAAATTGAATAAATGGTAAAATGGGGCCTAAATGTCAAATACATTACAGATAATCCTTGAATTACAACTGTAATTGAATCCAGAATTACGGTTGTAAGTTGTGCTGGTTGTTAACTAGGTCATCACATGACTGTGCCTGATTTTATGACCTTTTTTGCAGTGGTCATTAAGTGAATGCAATGGTTGTTAAGAGAACCCTTTTTAGCCAATGGCCGTTTTGTTTGTTTGTTTGCAAGAAACAAGATCATTATAAATTGTGGTCATAGGACCACAGGATGTTGTAAACTGTCATAAATGTGGGCAGGTTGCTGAATGCCCCAAATGCAATCATGTGACCACAAGATGGGGGGAGGGGGCTAAGTGACCAGTCACAAGTCAAGGACTATCAGTGCTTAATTTTCCAGATTTGCTGCTCCTGGTCCAGCATTTGCTTAAGGAGCATATTCTGAATTATCATCTGGTTCCCTCCCCACATGCATCATATTTGCAGAAACTGAAGAGAATAAATTAATGAAAAATGTCTTTGTGCAACTAACTAAATGGAATTTACCCTCTCCTAAATTTACTGCCCTAAAATTTACTAAAGGCAAACTGTTTTTATAAGATTTTTCTTCTTAATTTATCGATGATACATCTATTACTGGTTGGCCTCTACAACTTGCTGGACAAAGTTGTAGAGGGCAAGAAAGAGTCAGTTCTTTGTTTTCAAATTTGAACAGGACATTTCAGTGCAGTATAAAACTTAAATCCAGATGCTAGGGCTAAAAAGGCCATAACTTTCATGCTTTGCTGTAATCCAGTAGCTGGCCACAGTTCAGGACAGAAAAGAGGATGAAGTTCAACCTTGTTCTATCCTGCTACATATTTTGTAATATTCTAAATCAACAATTGAACTCTAGTTATCATTTCTCTTTCTCATATATACTTTTCTTTCCCCCCCCCCTTCATGTAGTGTATTCTCAAGACAAAAGTAACAAAATGTTTAAAAAAGAATGGGTTTGACTCCATTATAAGGGAATTCTGTGTAGATAGCAGACATTGATATAAAATGGTAAAACATAAGATGGCAAGGATGGTTACAGCAAGAATTTCATTAGCAATCAACTGAAAAAAATGCTGTTACTATTTTTAGGTAGCTTGTAGCTTAGACATTTCCATGGCTATTTAATGGACAAATTCTACTAATGAAAGGAAGGCAACAGAGGGATAGTTATAAAAGTATACAAGAAATGTGTTAAAAGCATAACACAGACTTTGCTTTTATTGAGGAAGTACAACAGTTTTAACAATGTTGTTGTTAAAATAGCAGTATTGCAACAATAACGGGGTTTATAGTGAAAAGCCCAACCAGAAAAAGCATACACATTAAAACAGTAAAATGAATAAGTAGAATAAACATAGAATGCAAATCAGCTTGAGCAAGGACAGATTATTAAGTATATTGGATAACTGAAAATCTAATAGTAGCAGAGAGGTGTCAAACTGGATTTCATTGAGGGCCACATCAGGGTTGTGTTTGACCTCGGGGAGCCGGGATGGTCATGGTAGGAATAGCCAGGGTCGGCGTGGAGGCCAAGTGCTAAGACAGGACTTCCCTCAGACCCTCCCTCAGTCTCATTATAATCTCCTCCCTCCCTCTTCTTCTTTTTCCTTCCCTCTTCATTCTCCTTTCTTCCTTCCCCTCTTTCCTTATTTTTCCTTCCTTGCTCTCTTCCCATCTTCCCTTCTTTTTCTTTCTTCTTTCCCTTTCTCCTTTTCTGTCCCTTCTTGCATGCTCAAATGTAAAACAGGAAACATTTCTCCTTTTGTTTTGTTTTTAGTTTGTTCTGCTAGCCCTCTGCTGGCAGAGAGCTGCAGGAGGCTGTCATGGCCAAAAATGGAGCCTGGGAGGGCCACATGCTGGCCCCCTGAACTCCATTTTTGATGGCAGAGGCACCGCGGACTGGTCCTTTACTATTTCCAGGGCGACCCCGTGGGCCTTGAGTTTGACACTCTAGCAGTACCATATTCATCACATTTAGTGACTCTTCTGGAGATATTTGGTGATCAATCAGCTAGAAGAAAGTAGATAGTTTCTTCTGATTTTACATGGTTGTGAGCAAAGAGGGGCATCAAAGAGAATGTGTTAGACTTTTTCTGTTTCTTTTAAGTTGAGGAACCTGGAGTCTGTATGTAGTATAAGTACAGGTAAGGCATTTATGTATGTATGTATGTACCTTCTTTGTGGAAGGCCTTCTTAGTATCTCCACCTTTAAAGCGCTCCATGGCTTAGGACCGGGGTATATACGAGATCGCCTTCTGCCACCGATAGCCTCCCACCGGCCAATACGCTCCCACAGAGAGGGGCTCTTCAGGGTGCCATCGGCCAAACAATGTCGACTGGCGACACCCAGGGGGAGAGCCTTCTCTGTGGGGGCACCAGCTCTCTGGAATGAGCTGCCCCTAGAGGTTCGTATGATCCCCGACCTGCGTACCTTTCGCCGCGCCCTGAAGATTCTTTTATTCCAACAAGCCGGGCTGGCCTAATAGGAATTTTAAATTGGGTGTCTGTTAGCTTTTAAGTTTGTGGGCCAAATTTTTATCTTTTTGTTTTTAAATTGTTTTTTAAATTTTGTAAGTGTATATGTGTTTTAAGATGGCTGTACACCGCCCTAAGTCCTTTGGGAGAAGGGCGGTATAGAAGTGTAATAAAATAAAATCTAAATCTAAATCTAAATCTCTCTCATCAAAACTCTAGGGTGTCTCTAAAGGTTTTGTTGCCAACAGCATTTTCTGATTTGGAAATTATTTTGTTGCTCTCGTCTATGCCTGATATGCATACCTCAGGAATCTCTGTTATCATGTTAATAAAAGAGAGAATTACTATCCAATATTAATATTCCCCTTGGTTAATATATTTATGGATAAACATAAAGCAAGCTTGTATTGAGTAATGAGCTTTGTTATTTGGCTTGTATTGACTAATGAGTTTTGACTAATGATAATTTGTTAATTATTAATGTGTATGTACTTTCATATGCAGGTGAATTTTGGTTTGGCTAAGGACCCAAATGATTTATAACAAATGTTAGACAGATTGTATGACGCAATGAATGGGTCTGAAAATTAATATTTTAAAGAGAGAAATGCTTGTTTCAATAGGGAAGAAGGGTTGCAAATTATACCTAAATAGCAAAAAATCTGGAGAAAGTAGATTTTGTATGCTTTGGTGGAATCTTCTCTAAAACGAATACAGACATTTTAATATCTACAAATGCAGATAGCAGAGTAGTGTGAAGAAATAATATTAAGAGAAGCAAAAATTACAAAAAAGGAGAAGCATAAGATTATGCTTCTATACTGTTAGTTATTTATTTGGCTACACAACTTGCACATTGTAACTCTGGTGGTTAAAGCAGGATTAAGATCAAAACCCCTAAATCAAAAAGATAAAGACAACATGAAGAAAAGCATAATATAGGATAGAATAACAGAGTTGAAAGGGACCTTGGAGGTCCTAGTCCAACCCCTGCTTAGTCAGGAGACCCTACACCACTTCAGACAAATGGTTATCTAATCTCTTCTTTAAAACTTCCAATGTTGGAGCATTTACAACTTCTGGAGGCAAGTTGTTCGACTGATTAATTGTTCTAACTGTCAGGAAATTTCTCCTTAGTTCTAAGTTGCTTCTCTCTTGATTAGTTTCCACCCATTGCTTCTTGTTCTACCCTTAGGTGCTTTGGAGAATAGTTTGACTCCCTCTTCTTTGTGGCAACCCCTGAGATATTGGAACACTGCTATCATGTCTCCCCTAGTCCTTCTTTTCATAAGACTAGACCAGTGGTTCCCAACGTGGGGCCCAGGCCCTATAGGGGGGCAATTTGATTTTTAATGGGGGCAATTTGAAA